TGTTTGGAAAGTTCATTTTAGTCTGTTCTCAGCAACAAAAGCGTAATTTGAGTTAGTGTCATTTTAAAAGGGGTTGATCAGCCTTTTGGACCATGAACAACCCAAAAGGCTGATCCAAGTTCTGAAAAATCATCCAGCTGTCAGTCGCTACAACAGATTCATAGAAGGTTTGATAAAGTTCTTCAACTCGTATGCAGACGACACCACGTTATATTCATTTAAAAAAGTCCAGTTTCCCTCTTGATTATTTCATCAACTGCAATATTTAACCAAGTTTCATAAATCATTATACAAAAGTTTCGTTTCTGGTAGAAATCAGTGAAGGTTTTTGGTGCTTTGTACCATGAAGTAAAAATAAAAAGATTATAGCCAAAAGTTTGTGTTTTGCTTCATATTGCTCATTTTGAGAAGATTGTTTTTCACCTGTTTTGTTGTTAAACCTAAACATTAAATTTAAAAAAATTACCAACTAGTTTGCAGAAAGTTTGCATCGACCTCTTAAGCCTGCTGACCAAAATGATGCCATTCTCAAACTGCAGCTGTGGGCCGCACAGAATCACTCCAAGGGCCGTAAATGGCCCCCGGGCCGTACTTTGGACACCCTTGCTCTAAACCAAAACTCAACTCGATCTTCACGTTTTCCTTCTTCTTTGCCTGTTCTCCTCACCATTATGATAGCGGTCAGCAGAGCCGTGCTCGCAGTCATCACGATGAAGCTGTCGATGAACCAGGTGCACCAAATGACCCCGCTGTCGACCCCCATGGCTTTGAGGGTCTCTTTGAGGCGCAGCTCCTTTTCCAGCACGATGCTCTTCACCGTCATGGACACGGAGTAGATCCAGGCCAGCACCATGAACATGGGGAAGCAGCGGTTCAGCGTGATCATAAAGCTGCAGGAAAACAGGAGAATGTTTTGGAGGGAGATCTTAATTCAACTTGAACAGTTTCACACATGGAGCTGGAGTGAAGCTAAACTGGTCACTGGAATCACAACAAGCTGCTCTCCGGTGGGATCTGACCTGCTGAGAAACCAGTTAGTCCTTCAATCACGTCCACTGTGGAAAAGATTACACACAAACACAAATAGCACACTAAGATACAGTAGTTAAAAACACATTAGAATAAAAAGAAACTGTGGCACAAATGCTCTTTACTGCGCGCACGTCTACTTCCAGTTGACCTTTACTCACCAGGGGTCAGACACAAAACAGCAAAGTTAAAATCTTGTTTTTTTTTTTAAATCTCCTTCCATACCAGAGTTTTTAGAATGAGTCATCTTATGTTGAGAAGTGATGGATTCTGTAGTTTGCTTTAATCCCAATAAATTAACTACTTGTACTGCAGTATCCGTCCTATAAGTCGCATCAGTCCAAAACTGTCTAATAATTTGGAAAAATCCATGAATAAGTTGCTTCGCCGTATACGTCGCATCTATTACGCGTCACCGCTGACAACCTGAAAACCTGGACCGGTGTTGTGCTAAAAAACGACTGACTGTCAAACGGCGACCGCGGGAGCGTGCACAGGAGGACTTTAACAAGAATTTAACAAGATTAACACTTAAAAACAATTATTTGTTTGCTCAAAATTATATCGAAGGTGTGTCTCAGTTTAACTTTGACTTAATAAATGCACTTTGACGGTCAAATCAGCTGCATTTTAAAAGTATTCGCTGCCTCGGTGCTCTGGGAGCGCGCGGAGGGAGGACATCGGGAAGGAGGAACGCTGCACACTTCTTCAAAATTTAACAAGATAAGCACCTAAAAACAATTATTTGTTTGCTTGACTTTATAGTAAAAGGTGTGTCTCAGTTGAACTTTTACTTAATAAATGCACTTCAATGGTCAAATCAACTGCATTTAGCCAGGGCGGCGCAGTGAAATGAAGCTGATTTGACGGTTGCTCCAGGTGAGCTGGACGAAGGTGGCTTTATGGCAAGCCGATTGTGTTATTCATAGCCACTTACATGACACAACAGCATGCCATTCTACTCAAGTGCCATCTAGTGGCTGAAAACGGTAGTGTTCAATATTTTCAGTCAGAATGAATGAAAACGGTCATATCTCAGCCCAATACTGGTTTATAAATATGAGGGAAAAACATAAATAAGTCGCTTTGGCGTATAAGTCGCAGGGCATGCAAATTAGGCAAAAAACTGTGACTAATAAGCCGGACAATACAGTGCCGTAGTCTGCTTTTTACAAAGGGACAACGGAGCTGGAGTTGCCATGCTGGACCTCCTACAAAAATCAGTCCTTCTCCATGAACCAGATAGTTTAAGTTCCCCTAGCTGTTTAGGATTAGTAGAACCTTATAAATACAAAGACCAGCAAATAGGAATTAAATGTATAAATACATTTAAATTAAAAATAAACCTAAAATGTAGTCCCTCTGAATAAGGACAACTGGTCTAAAACCAGTGCCCTTAACGTGAGGTTACAAGGTCTCAGGAGGTTATTGGACTGATTTTCATTTATTTATTTTCTTCTTTCGGCTGCTCCCTTCTTCAGGGGTCGACACAGCGAACTAAGTCACACGAAGACTTGGCAATTGTCTTTACGCCGGATGTCCTTCCTGACGCAACCACAGACCACTGAGCTACCACAGCCCTCTGTGTGGAGCAGAGGGCTGTCATCTAGGGTGCCTGGGGGAGCAGATGGTGGGGGTTAAGGGCCTTGCTCAAGGGTCCAGAGTGGGGCTATTGAGGGTGGAGGAAGGTGTGGGTGTTTTAACTTTCCCACCCACATTTTGATGTCGGTACGGGGAGTCGAACCGGTGACCTTCCGATCACAGGACCACCTTCTCTAGCCTCGGTGCCACCACTCCCCCATAAAGAGTTTTACCTGATTTTTTTATATATATAAATATAATTTTAGGAGAGAACAAACATCAATATATTGAGTAGTGAAAGTGCTTTTCTCAATAAGTAATAAAATAATAAATAAATAAAGTGGGCCTGTGTAAATCAGAAGGTGATTCCCTAAGTATTGATGTATTTATCAAATCATCTACATAAAACAACACAATAAATCTCCTTTCTGCTCTGGCTTTTGGTTTCCAGTGACCCCCACAAGGCCACCCCATTCAAAAATTTCAGCAGGCACCACTATGGATAGTAGAAGAGGACGGTAATAAAGTCCTGATATTGTATTGTTATGTATTTCTGTTTTCTGAGCCTCTTATTGTTTATGGATGACTGCCTCAGATATTGCTACAACTAAGAATAGATGTGCATCAGTCCAAAACTGCAGCGTGCAACTACACCTTTAAACTTCATTTATGGACTTTTTTATTTAAATATGGACAATCTTGCCAAATTACTCAAATCCGAAAGGGACAATAGAAAAAACAAGTGGCTGTATTTAAAATGAGAAACCCAGCCTTCTTCCTGTCGTGTTTCCTGTTGGTTCGTTTGTTCAGCTGCGTCACTAAAGATTATCATTCCACGCCGTCTTATCTACCGTATTTTTCAGACCATAAGGTGCACTTAAAATCCTTTAATTTTCTCAAAAATCGACAGTGAGCCTTATAATCCGATGCGCCTTATAGTCCAAAAAATACAGTGCTGTAAATAAAGATTAATTAAAGGAGCTCACAGGGTTCTTTCACATTAAAACCAGTTTGAATCCGTGAACTCACAGGTCATCCACATAACAAGGATATGGCATCTGCTGGACGTAGACCCCGAGAGGCCGATCGTTGCTCGTGTGAAGCTTAATGATCCCGTGATCGATCATGTCCTGCAGGTACGCAAAACCGCCCCAGATGTACCTCTGGTCCTCCACGGGATCCGCTCTGGGACCAGGATCCCAGTACCTGAAATAGAAAAAAAGAAAGTGAACGATAAAAGTGATGGGATCTGTTAGAAATTGTGTTCTTTAAAACAAAAACATATTTTAATCAGATTTAAATTTTACCAAAAAAGTTAACGTAAGCCTTTTTTTGTGTCTTAGTTTGTTGTTGTTTAAAACAATCCCGACCTTGAACTGTTGAAATAAAAAATAAAATAATCGTCCTGAATCCAAAGACTGTTAAGCCACATGTTTGTACGCTGCCTTTACTTAAGCGGATAAGTTTGAGTCAGAGCTTGTTACAATCTGATTATTGTGTTGTACAGAAGCAGGACTCCCACTGCGGCCATTACTGCCCGCTGCTCTGCTGTAAGCAGCCGAGAGCACCTGAACACACCATAAAAAAACATCTACTCAGAAATTAGACATCAAAGAAAAAAATGCATGAAAGTGATGCTGATGAGAGGATTAAAAGTAAAGGTAACGAGAGAAATTGCATTTCCTGTGAAAATGCAGTGTAGATGCTGATTGCTGAAGAACTTGCTGAAAAACGGCTAAAATTAACTAAAAACAGCTGAAATGTAGCTGAAATGGAAGAACAAGCCTAAGTTAGCAGAATAATGAGAAAGAGTACATATATATTTTTAATTAGGTTTAAAAAAGCAGAAATGAGCACAAAAATAGCTGAAAAGTAGCAGAAAGAAGCTTAAACTAACAGAAGGAAGTAGAAGGAGCTGAAATTAGCTACAAAATGTGGAATTAACTGAAAAAGCTAATTTTTTTTAGCACAAATAAATAAAAAGTAGGTGAAATTGCAGAAAAAGCTGAAAGGAGCACAACAAGTTGAAATTAGCATAAATAAGTTAATTAGGCTCAAGTAGCAGAAATTACCATGAAAAACTTGAATTTATCCGAAAACAGCTGAAATAGAAAGAGTGTCGGCTCTTACTGACCTGTCTTTGATCTTGTTAGTCCGCTCCACTGCATCGATGTCCATCCTGATCTTGTACTTGACATGCGGGGGGACACTCGCGGTCCAGGGATACATGTCCTCGAAGACCACGCCGGCCCAAAACTTGTTCTCCTCCAGCAAGTGCAAGGCCTGATGGATCATCTGGGCCTCGTCCGTGTAAGCCACAAACTTATCCAGACTGATGCACTGCGAACACACACGGAGGGCACGAAGATGAGGATCTGGCAGCTTCGCTTTGGAAACAGGCTGATTTTCTTGATGTTTAATGCCCTTTAGCTTTACAAAGAAATGATAGCCGTAATGAGATTTTTGCCCTTGTAATCTACAGCGATGACTCTAGAATGAAGCAATCAGCAGACGTTCATCTAATCATCACAGCTTTCAGTCGTTGCCGTTCAAAAAAATCATTTAAGTTGTTTTCAAAAGCCAACACATTTAGAGGATTTTTATTTTTATTTCGCTCGGATGCAGATCTGTTAAGGCAAGGACAGCACAGAAATCGTGGCTAATTACCGACACCGCCCGATGTTTTTCTGCAGAGCAGAATGTATCCTTTCACTTCTTTCAGCAGTCACCTCATCAATAACCAGTGACCCAGTTTCAGTGGCAGCTATACTCCAGGTTTAACAGATGAAGTGCTATATGTTCTCCTTTCCAACATCCTGCTTGGGTGTTTCTTCCAGCACTTGTCAAAGATAATATTCATTTCTCTAAAAAATCCAGCAAAGCTTGACTGTAAGGCAGAGCATGATTTTATTTATTTATTTTGGTTTTGGGGTAAACTGTGTTAAAATCCTATTTTTTTTCCTGTCACATTAAGAAAAGTACTAGAATAAACAAATGTACAGAATTTTTTTCTTCATCAACCCAAACATTTTGCTAATTTTGTGTGTGCTTCTGATGACTGGACTCTTCAGAACGTCCATACATCATCTTTACACGCCTCTTCCTTTTCAGGTCATAGTGGTCACTGGTGCCCACATCCAGCAATCACTGTGCAAGAGGTGGGGACACCCTGGACAGGTCTCCAGTCCATCACAGGGACACATAGAGACAAACGAGACAAACAACCAGTCACTCTCGCACTCACACCTAGAGACAATTTGAGTTACCAATCAGTCTAACATGCATGTTTTTGGTCTGTGGGAGGAAACTGAGGTACCTGGAGAAAACCCACGCATGCACGGAGAGAACATGCAAACTCTACCCAGAAAGATCTGGGATTCGATCCAGCAACCTTCTCACTGAGAGGTGACATCTCTAACAACTTTGCCACCGTACCGGCTCTTCAAGTCAAGTCAACTTTATGTATAAAGCACATTTAAAATGGAAGCTGTTATCAAAGTGTTTAATACCAATAATAGCACGAGTGAGAGTAAAATTCATGGAAAATAAGATGCAGGAAGAGAGCCACCTGCATCATGAAGGACCCCACTCACCCAGCACGCACACTTTTTGCCCCGCTCCCCTCATGCAGAAGGTTGAGGAGTATTAAGTGCAGAACCACTAAGCTGAGGAACAGCTTCTACCCTGAAGCTGTTAGACTCATGAATATCTAGTCAGGATTATCACTGAGAAAAGTACTGTGAAAAAAAATCACTGTAATGCCACTTAGTTGTTGAAATGTGCTGCTGACTATCCATGATGCTGATTTATTTCATGTTGCTGTGTTGATCCATCCTCATCTGCTCACACAGACTCATGTTCATGCTGCTGTTGTTTGGCACATTGTTTTGTACTATTAGCGCTTAGTATATTCTTAGTTTAGTGTATTTTTTTAGTTTTTAGTCTCAGATCGTACTACTGTTTTTCTTTACAATTTGTATTTTTGTTGGATGTAAGTGGGACCCTGTGTACATAGTTTCATTCCACCTAATGTACGTTGTACCACAAGTGATGTGAATGACAATAAAGAACCTTGAAACCTTGAAATAATAACACACACTGATGATAATACTGAAAAATTAATTAAAAGTATTAATAACATAAGAACACACACAAACATCAGTACTATGCTCTTCCGGTTCTTTTTTTCTTGATTATTTATCAGGAAATAAAGAAGAAAATGCCATTTTAGGCAGCCTGTAAAGTTTCTAAGTTCTGGTAACAGCTTTGTTCTTGTTTTATATCACATGAAGATTAATGTTGTTGTTCTTTCTTAGTCTTTAGTATACCACACAGCTTTTCATTATTAAAAAAATATCAGCCTCTGTAGTTTCAGCTGTTCGGTCGTGCTTCATCAGGTCTTTGTGATCATCTTCTGGCAAAGGACAAGCAGTAATAATGTTTTTGCCTGAGTCCAGCAGATGAACGTCTCCTTCACATTGTGCATCACGCCAACAGCTATAGCTCCGCCCCTTCTCAACATGACACGAGCTTCAATCTTAAACATGAAAGGGTGTGGGTCATATGCGTTCCATTAAAGAACGCTAATCCTTTTTGCTGAGCTGTGTGTTTACATCTAATCCAGATTGTGCTGTGCTTAGTTTCACTGAATTTCATGTCTGTGCGATGCTTCTTTACTCATTTTCTCTTATAAACTTATTTGTTTCCCCACCTCCACCTGTAGCCCCTAGACCAGAAGTGGGCAACATTTTTTCCAAAGGGCCACATCAAGATGTTTAAAACAATCAAAGAGACACATAGAGAATTGGAAAATAAATTTTCTTAATGACAGATAATCTAGACGAACTTTTTCTTATTGTAGCATAGTTAGCACGCTTTATAAAACAAGTCTTTCCAAAATCCTTTAGGAATATAAGACATATTCTGTAAACTGGCTCTTGAGACAATATATTACACGTTACTTGTATACCTGGATTATTGAGCATGGACTTTGTTATATTACACGTTAGCTGAACATGTTATACATGTTGGCAGAAATAATCAAAACAAACTTACATACAGTAGTCCCTCACTACTTCACGGTTCATTTATCGTGTACTCACTCTATCGCGGTTTTTCAAACTAAGATTGGACATGACACACATTTGGCTGATTGATGGACGAGCCGCAAGATCAGCATGAAATTTTTATTTAAAATAAATTATTTTAAATTATTTAGCACCTGCTGCACATTTGTGCAGCCCACGCTGCAGGATAAACTTCCTGCTGCAGCTGATCAGCTGTCCTCCGTGCAGAGCGGAGAAGAGGGCGTGGCCAAGAACGCTTGCAAGTGGCAAAGAGCAGAGGAGGCAGGAAGCTGAAATCATGACATGCTGTGCTCTTTTAGAGCGTTTAGAAACATTGTTCAGAATATTGCAAAAATGTGGGAAGGGTTTAAAACGCCTTAATATATACCTGTATATATATATATATATATATATATATTTCCCACTTTGCGGTTTTTCACTTATTGCGAGTCTTCAGGGTACGGATCCCCCACGATAAACGAGGGACAACTGTATTTATGTTTCTAAGTCTTTAAGGTTCAGTCTACTGGTAGTTCTGGAAATACAATGACTTAAAAATGTTTTTTTGTTGTTTTTTTTTTGCGTAAAATGTTTAATTTAAATTTCCTTAAGTCTCATGGATAAATTGCAGACTTTTTTTTTAATCAATCTTTATTTAAAAGTTGTTGTTTTTTTAGCTAAGGATATTGGCGGCCTGATGGAGATTGTCCATGGGCCACTTTTGGCCCTCGGGCCTTAAGTTGCTCTTGTCTGCCTTAGACTCTGGTCGTCCTCAGCAGTAGAAATAAAACTAACTCTGTACGACAACCTGAGCTGAGAATTAAAGCTCTGCAAACAACATTGTGTGTTTTCCACAAGGCAAAAGTAAAAATGAGCCACGTTAATTAGAGACAAAAACAAACCTGGTTAATATTATTGATCAAGCCCCATAGAGTGCATGCAACCCTCACACCATGTCATCTATGAAACACACAGTGGGATCCCATCATGCACACACACGTGCAGCTCTTCACGCTCCTGTCGTCACCGTGTCTGATGCTTCCCTTCATATTACTGTACTAAACACTGAGCATCCTCACACAGAGCCCAAAACATGCATTCACAAAACAATCATGCTCACTCAAAGACGGGCTGAGGAGGAAGAGCCTGGATGACACTCGTGTTGGAGGAGGTGTTCAGTGTGAGGAGCAGCAGAACCCCCCCCCAGACAGAGTGAGAGGACCGGCTGCTAACTGCAGGCCCAACAGGCTGACAGCCAGCTCTAATTGGTTAAACTGATTGGGTTTATTTCCAAGAACCTGAAGGATCCTGGAGCTGAACTTGACAACAAAGACAGAGATTCCTGCAATGATGGGGTGCTTTTCAAAATCTCAATCTCTCCCCACCCCCCCACCCCCACCCCCATTTAAACGAGTCCTGAGAGGAGAAAAGGAAGTGAGAGCAATTTGTCCCCTTTTTAGTGCACTAGTCTGTTTCAGTGGCAAGTTGTACTCCGAACCAGCTCTGAGCTCAAGAGGAGGGTGACTCATTCCCACCTACTCTCTACTTTATCACCGGCTCCACAAAGGAGGCGAGGGAGTGGGGGGTGACAGCGCACTTGTTCTCCCCACCTTTCAACCTGACGGACGAGAGAGAAGCGATAAAGCTGTGCTGAGTGGTTTCATGTGTCTCAAAAGGCCGAGCTGCAATCTGCAGGGCGCAGCCCTGGCTGACTGACTCTGCTGTCTCTACAAAGAACAGTGTTGATTTAAGCACTGCGGGAGGGTGGGGGTTGGGGGGTTGTCAGAGGAGACGGGTTCCTTACCTCTCCATATTGGTTGAATATGCGTACAATCTGGTCAGTGATGTTAAAAATATTCCTCCAGTCAAAGTTTGCTGTTCCCGCCTCCCTCCTGTCTTCTGGTCCGTTGTGCAGAAAGTTCAGGATGTCTTTGGTGCTGAAGCTCGTTTCATCCAGACTGTTGTCCATGAAATGCAGCACTGTTGGGTTCCGCAGCGTATCCTGCAAAGACATACTGTAACATTATCATTTTTTTAATGATTAGAAGAAAAAGTACCATTGATTTTTTTTATTTTAGCAAAAATAATTAGATGAACAATAAAGTTTTAAAATATCAAGTTTTACCAGCAATAAGCTCAGAAGGAGGATGCATTTAGACCCAAAACCCAAAATAGCTGCACTAAACTTGAATTTATAAAGTTGTTTTCTTTTTTCTTTCCTAAGAAACAAGGCTGTGGGAACAGGGGGGGCTGAGGGTGCTACAGCACCCCACTGTGCATGACAAGAAATCAAATGTCAAAACTAAAGAAATAGAAGACTGAATGAAGAAGTAAATTCAGTAAGTTAAAAAATACATCTCTCCTAATGTTATGTAAGTTTATAAACTTCATCCATCCATCCATCCATTTTCTTTACCCGCTTATTCCATTTTGGGTCACGGGGGTCGCTGGTGCCCATGTCCAGCAATCACTGTGCGAGGGGCGGGGTACACCCTGGACGGGTCGCAAGTCCATCACAGGGACACATAGAGACAAACGAGACAAACAACCATTCACTTTCTCACTCACACCTAGGGACAATTTAGAGTCACCAATCAGCCTAACATGCATGTTTTTGGTCTGTGGGAGGAAACCGGAGTACCCGGAGAAAACCCACGCATGCACGGAGAGAACATGCAAACTCCACCCAGAAAGGCCCCTGGACCGGGGTTTGAACCAAGGACCTGCTCGCTGAGAGGCAGCAGCTCTACCAGTTGCGCCACCGTGCTGCCAGTTTATAAACTCATTTTTGTTTTTTTGTTTTTTTCTTCTTTCGGCTGCTCCCTTCTTCAGGGGTCGCCACAGCGAACTAACACGAGGACTTGGCTGCTCTTCCTGACACAACCACAGACCACCAAGCTACCACAGCCCTCTGTGTGGAGCAGAGAGCTGCCATCTAGGGCACCCTGGGGAGCAGATGGTGGGGGGTATGGGCTTTGCTCAAGGGCATAGAGTGGGGCAAATGAGTGTGGAGGCTGGTGTGGGTGCTTTACCTTTCCCACCCACATTTTGATGTTGTCGGTACAGGGAGTTGAACCAGCGGCCTTCCAATCACAAGCCCACCTTCTCTAACCTCTGCACCACCACTCCCACATAATTTTACTTTTATGATAATAGTAAACAATAAGGTAAAATAAGTTCACGTTTGGTTCCATCACTGTTTGGGGGGGTACAACTTTTTTCACAGCACTCCCTTCACATTCCCGTGGCCATGAAATCTTGTTTTCTTTTTTTAATACTGTTTGCTGTGGAACTGTTGGTGTTCTGTGCAGTGTTCGCACCCTGATCATGTTCATCTGAACGCTGCTGTGGAAGAAAGCCCAGAGCTGGGGTCCCACCTCCTCCCAGGCCTTGGCCATGTTCTGCAGCCTCTCGAGCTCCTCAAACGTGGTGTTGGCCTGGAGGCAAACAAACACACGTCCTGTGAAACAAATATTTTAAATGGTACAACAGAGTAGCTACATCAATATAAAGTGCTGTGCTAATAATGGTAATGGGTCACATGCAGAGACAAAGTGCACCATTCGAAAGCAATTTCTAGTGGAACATTTAGCATTAAAAAAATGACTTACTTGACCGTCTCTAACCAATTTATTCAGATTTTTCTTTTAAACGACACTAATTAAACATTTCTAAGCATTTTAGTTTATTCTGCTTTGTGTGCCAAATGTTTAAAATTAATTTCTTGTGCAACTTGTAACTTGCACTGCAATACATTTTAGCTCAATATTTGTCAAAGTGACTGAGTTGAGGCCATGTTTTTGTGTTTGTTGGGCCTGAATAACAGTGGCAGACATGTTGAATCAAAACTCAATGATCGCTTTTTGAAAGTTCAATTAAAATCTGTCCAATGGGTTTAATGAGATATTTTACTAACAGACGGAACTGACTCCAGCCAATGAATGCATTGCTGTAAGAAGAAACTTTGCAGCTTAAAATCAATGCAACATTAAGACCATTCACTTGGACTTTTATCAGATGTGATCCTGGTAGCACGTCAGTTTATTCTATATAACGTGTGAAATGTAATTTTATTTAAATAACATATCAAGAGTCACATAAGCTCTGTAGGCTTTAAGTCTCATTACAGCAGCTCCACTCGAAAATGAAACGTGTTACGTGTAAAAAAGCACATTTCACCTGACACATCTGTTCGCCCACACATTTAATTTATTGCTCAATCCCTCCCTCTTCCCTCTCCTCAGCCCATAGACCTTCAACCCCCATCTCTTTGCTCTCCTTTACGCCTGGAGTCAGCTCGTTTCACGGAGGGGTGGAGGTTTGAGCTCATATACGCTGTGCCTTGTAAAGAAAATAATAATAGTGGAGAAAGTGAGAGGTGAAGGCTGGAGGTGGGGGCTATTACATTCTTTAATATCTTGCGGACGGCCGGGGAGTCGGGCGTGTACAGGATCTTTCCCATCAGCAGGGGTTTGACTGAATTCCACACGATCTTTGTGACGGGGTTGGACTCCAGGGTCTGCATCAGGGAGTTGCAAAAGGGAGCTGAGGGTTGAGGGAAAAAACAAAAACAATAAAAGCTCAATAAAGCAGAATGTAGAAAGAATTAGAGATAATTAGTTATCATGATGGTTCCAAAACCCACTGCCAACGAGACCATGCATGCTGCAAAATAAATACACTTGATTAAACTAATAAGGAAACAATAAGGTAAATAAAAAGTAATGCATTTGTATTTTACATGTAGAGAACTTTAAACTTGATCAGCATTAAAATCTGCAAAACAATTTGTAGAAATAGAAGCTACCTAAATGTATATCTGTTCTCTAGGAGTGACATAAAAATACAAGTTGAAAACATGCCAGAAAAACTGCACATGGAGATTAGCGATGGTTATTATTAATTGACGTAAAATTAATTAACTGTCCTTCCCAGTATAAGTGACAGGAGCGTTTTAAAGTCGATGTTTAATTGCAGACCTTTCTTATCTCTTCTTGCTCTTGACAGCTGTGGAACTCTGAGTGGAAGAAATGCAGCTACTTAATTGATCTGGCAGCAGTACAGTAGTCCCTCGCTACTTCGCGGTTCGACTTTCACGGTTTTTCAAAAATTGAACACGAGAAAAACAATTGTGATTGTCATGACATGATTGTCAACTTTAATATTACTCACGTGATTTGGACAGTACTGGATACTGTACAGTAAAAAGTTAACGAAAAAATAAAATACCTCCGACAGGTGGCACCATTTTGTAGTTTTCCTTCAATAAGCCTATACTGTATCACCACTCATAAAGACTATATTTCCCAGAAGCCAACAGGGCCCCGCCCAGAAGCCCTGTTGCCTTCTGCTGAAATACGTAGAGGGAACGTTTTGATCTGATCAGAAAAAGTTCAATCCTTTACATTGACTTCGGCACCCAGTGGATTCAGAGAACCACATGGAACCCACTGGGAACCGGACCAGAACCAGACCTCCAGATCCATTGGCGAATCCGAGAGCTGATAGTCGGCCCAGGACTTCTGAGCAGGGGCACGCTGCTCAGAAGTCCTGGCTCCTTTCTGGAGCCCACAATGACTTTTTTCATCTCTTTATTGGATCACCCAATTGGACTACCGGGTTTCTAAAGCCTTAAAATATATATAAATACTAAAATAAATATAACGTCGCTACTTCGTAAATTTTCACTTATTGTGGGGTGGTACGGAACGTAACCCCCGCAATAAATGAGGGACTACTACACCTGCTTACAAAAGCTGTTTCAAAGACTGTATTCTCCATTGAAACATTTGAGTCAAAACGGATAAGAAGGTCTTTAAAGTGCTCAGAAACAAGTGCAAACATGGTTATCATCATATATAACTGTGATGTGATGTAGTTTGAATTATTATCCGTCTGTTTATGAAATGTTATCAGTTCAGCGCAGGAGTTCAGGACTTCACTTACTGGCAGTGTCATCGTAGACGTAGTCGTGACTCTTGCTGCCGTTGACCCCCAGAAACACCTTATAGTTGTTGTCTTCATACCAGTTGAAGGACAGGACCCTGGAGCCCCCTCCCTCTGGGTACCCACAGAAGAGGTGCGACACACTGGACATCAGCTGGGTGAAGGAGGAAGGACCTCCAGCTCGGAACAGAGAGGACACCTCCTTGAGGAGCTCCTGAGAGCTCTCCTGTTTCATCAGCTGTCCGAGACATAAGAACGTTCATCTGGTTGTTGGATGTTCGCTTGCTTTCTGACAGTGTGAATGCTAACATGTGGGGAACCTTTAGCTACCCTTCTGCAACTTTTAGCTTTTAGCTAGCCTTTTGATACTTTTTAACAAAAAAGTTTCTACTTTCAGAATTAAGTTGGTACTTTGTTATTTTACCGACCTTTTTTATTCTTTTCTTTTTACCACTTTTAGCATATAGTTAACCTTTTGCCACTTTCAGCTTGCCTTTTGCTTCTTTGACTGGCTTGTGTGAATGCTGATAAATGTGACGTTTTCATTTAGCCTTTTAGCAATTTTAGCTTTGACCTCATGCTCTGCATTCAGCACAGAACTTTTAACCTTTAGCTTGCCTTTAGCTAGCTTTTTAGTTTAGCGAGCACTGTGATACTTTTAGCTAGCTTTTAGCAATTTTGAGCTTTTACCTATCCTTTTATTATTTTTAGCTACCTTTTTATTACTTTTAATTTAGTCTTTAGATACTTTTAGTTTTTAGCTAAATGTTTGCCTCTTTTAGCTAGTGTTTTGCAAGTTTTAACTTTAAGCTATTTTTTTTTCTAATGTTTTTCTTTATTCAGCTTTACCGATCCTGAACTTTTGATCTAGCCTTTGGCTACCTTTAGTTTTTAGTTAATCAATTGCTTCTTTTAACTAGCTTTTGCTGTTTCTAACTTTGAGCTAGTGTTGCGTTACTTTTACCCAGACTTTTACTACTTTTGTCTTTTAGGTATTATTTTCTTCTTTTAGCTTTATGCTATTCTTGTTTCGTAGCTTTAGTAACCCAATTCAAGTAGTCCTTCAGCAGTCATACTGCGTTTTCACAAAAAACGTTTTTTCACTAGTTAATTTGAAGACTATAATAAATCCACTTTAATGCTTTGTGTTACATACTTTGTGATTTCCACTTTTGAGTTTAAGCTTTAATATTCACACATTGATAATTGAACTAATAGCTGTGAACGTGTCGTATGTGTTTTTGATACTTTTGGACTGTCCCAGCATGTGAAAGAGCCCACTCATAACAAAGTTCACATACTATGGTCATCTCTAAAAATCTCAGTATTTCCAATGCCAAAGTTTTTGATTGTGCCTTATCAGGTCATTTTAGTGTTTTCTTTGACATGACTGCCAACATCAATACTCTCAATCATATACTGTCAAAAAACAATACTGTATATCAATAAATTTGTCATGTATTGTTTTCTCAGGAAATGTCTCTGCTACCCTCTCATTCTCTGTTAATGTCAGCTCAAACTCTACTAGATAATTTTATTTCTAAAATAACAAGTGCATTTGATGGCATTGTTCCAGTTATAATTAAAAAGTTTCTTGAAAAACTGAAGGCAGCGTGGAGGAGTGTCCCACAGGTCATACTACAAAAGAGAATGTGTCGAGTAGCTGAGCGTAACTGGAGGAAGAATAAAACTCTAAATTCATTATGAATTGTAGAAAAAGTGTCAGCAAAATTACAATTTAGAGACTAAAAAACGAAAGGCAGTTATTTCTATCTCACATCATTAAATCAAAGAAAAACCCACACACATTGTTCACTACTATGGATAAACTCACCAATAGACAAATATACTCCACAAATTAAATTCTATAAAATGTTGCAATGACTGATTTTACCGCATTTGACACAGATGGCCATAATATATTAATTTACAGACTTGAACATTGGTTTGATTTTCCTGGCACAATTAAATCCTATCTTCAAGTCAGAAATAATTTTGTATCAATCTGCAGTAGAACCTCAGAGAATTTTCTACTATCATGTGGTGTGCCACAAGGGTCAATTCTTGGACCTCTTTTATTCAATCAATTTATTCCCATCAACCGAAGCCTTACAATTCTGTGGCCTCATACCACATGTATGCAGACGACACTCAGATATATATCAGTGTGTCATCGAATAATAGTTGCACAAAAACACACTGGGAATTGCATCTAACAATAAGTAAGGATATATATTCACCATTCTGTCTAAAATTTAATAAAGCTTGTCCTCCAAGCAGCCTACAACAGCTGTGGTCAATAGTGTTGCTAAGTAAAAGCAAGCATTTTCCATCCTTCCGCTCATCCAACAGCATAAATAAATGCCGGGTATTCGAGGGGAGTCTAAACAATTAGTTTTAAGCTGTTTGACATTTATCAGGTAATTACATACAAAGTAGGGATATTTACATCCTTTGCATCAATTCATGCCCTGCGAATTTCAGAACGTAAACGATCACATGGAAACAATAGTTTGAAAGATAAGCAAACATGTCGGACAGACGCCTGTCCTCACATGATGAGGACAGGCGCAGGGTGGGCTAAATATCCTCCTATTGACTGGACAAAAATAGCTTCATGTGAGTGAATTTCTCTCCAGCATCATTTCCTCGTTATGGAAAGGAGGACACCCTAAATATCTGCTGCTGCTGAAAGGAAAACATTCATCCAGATATTCAGGATATCAAAAACTGGTGAGATTAAATTTTCACACAGACATAAACTAGAGTTTTTCCAGGTATGATTACATTTCTTCATCCAGATCGGCAGCCATATGAAACCAGATTTAGTCATGAAATGACTAAAACCTCTTCAAAATACATTTTCCAAGTAAATGTGCTCTTGAATGCTCAAACAAGTTGCAACACAGTCCTAATTTCAGCCTCACTCGCTCACTCTTTCTTCATTTTTCTAACTTACACACGCACTCATACCTACACGGTGTGCTGAAAAGAAGGAGAGGTGGGTATAATGAGAATGCTTGACTCGCCATTCTGTCACCAGTGACACAAAAGGTCCCACCTACAGGATGTGTCACCTCAAAGGAATGTCCCCTTTTCCTCTCGTCTTTCTCCCTCTAAAGGCCTCCCACCCATCTCTTTCTTTCTGTCACCCCCGGCCAAAGTGTCAATGGGATACACTCCCCCTCCCAACCCCCCAGGGACACACAGCGAACGTGCTGAAGTGCACATCTCTTTACAGGTGTGCAAAGCCCTCATCAGCAGCTCCTCTCATCTTCAAGTTTTCAAAGATTCCAGCAGATTTTGTTCTAATCAAGTCTTTGCTGAAAGATGACATTCCTGGTTGTGTTTTTTAAATGCAGGCATTTAGAGAAACATGCAGTAAAGCCTGATCCAGAAGAGGAAAGTCCTGCAGAAAGGTTACTACAACAGTAGCTGCAACTTATACGTATTTTGTCGTACAATAAAAGGATGTGAAAATATAATTTTTAAACATGCATCAATAAAAAAAGAGAATAATCTTTCAAAATGTTTCCCTCTTGTTCAGTTTTTTTTAATCTTCTTGTCTGCTTTAGTTGTAAATTATTTTGCATTATTTAGTTTTACTCTACTTAGATGAATGGCTCAGAGCGTTTGAAGTGGGCAGTATCTTACCTGCTGCAGATGGCACTTTGACCGTCTCAATTTGGAGGAAAAAAGCTAATCATGAGCAAACTGATAAGCTAATAGCAGTGTCAAGATCACAGTAAATATCTGCTGTCCTAAATTAATTATAACTTCAAATATTTAATACAAGTTCATGCAAATGCTGTTTTATTAACCTTTATATCAAAGCTTCACATTACATGTGTAACATAGAATTACTTTGATGCTTTTGAACGAGGTGCCCCTAAGTTCTACAGCTAGCTGCTGTTGCTACTTGTGCTTGCAGTTAATGATACTGAATGCAATTAATGATCAAATAAATTTTTAAAAAAATCTACAGATTGAGACCATTCAAATAGATATCTGCAACAAATAAGATACTGATTGTTCATAACCTTTCCACAGAACCCCTCTTCAAAAGATCTGAACCAGGCTTCTTGTGTCACTCTGTTTTTTTTTTTATCCCAACTATAACTGGACAAAAGCTCTTCAGTTTATCACAGACTTAAACCACACGTGCACAAATCTCCTTCGATTGTCAATTTATAGTGATTATTATTTTTTGTATGTTTGTTTATTTTGGACTGTAGAGGCAAATAAACTATGTAAACAAAATGAACATAAAGTTCAAACATTATGACACTGCGCTCAAATTCATTGATTTTTTTTTATTTTTAATTTCCATTA